CATTGAGCTCCCCCCGTGTGGCGCTGACCCTGTCCCTGTCCCTACCCCCCAGGGGAACGTGGTATTCAAAAGGCGCGTGCGCCTGCCCCGTCCCCTTGCATTGAGCTCCCCCCGTGTGGCGCTGACCCTGTCCCTGTCCCTACCCCCCAGGGGAACGTGGTATTCAAAAGGCATCCGCGCCTGCCCCGTCCCCTTGCATTGAGCTCCCCCCGTGTGGCGCTGACCCTGTCCCTGTCCCTACCCCCCAGGGGAACGTGGTATTCAAAAGGCATCCGCGCCTGCCCCGTCCCCTTGCATTGACTTCCCGCCCGTGCGGCGCTGACCCTGTCCCTGTCCCTGGCCCCCAGGGGAACGTGGTGGCTATCAAGCATGTGAATAAGAAGCGGATCGAGCTGACGAGGCAGGTGCTCTTCGAACTCAAACACGTATGTACTGGGGAGCTGGGCAGGCGATGGGGGGTCCAGGGGTCTGTGCTGGGGCAGGAGTGAAGTGACGCTGGGGGGGTTCCCAGCTTGCCCCAGCACTGGCTGAGTGTGGCGTGGTTCAGAGCCCTGGCCATGCTCAGCTCACAACCAGGTGCCTTGTGGAGCCTGGTGGGTCTCACGTGGCGCCAGGTGCCAGAGACATGTCAGGGACACGTGTGTCCATGGGGGGGGCACACAGGCAGCAACGCACACGTGCAGATGCACCCACCTCCCTGCTCCGCCCAGGACTCCACAAGCCCCATTTTATCATCCAGCCTGAATCTGGCTCTCAGGGCCTGAGCCGAGGCCCAGGAATGGCCGTCGCTGTGGTAGCGTCAAGCATGTCGCGAGGCTTTGATTCCAGAGTGCCTGCGGCCTAGGGCTTTGCAGCGACTGTGCTGGTCGCTGGACACCCAGACCGGCCCCATCCCCTCCCAGCCTGGGTGGTGCGGGGTTACCCAGCCAGGCTCTGATGGGTCCCTGCTTCTGTTTCTGGCCCTAGATGAGGGACATCCAGTTCAACCACCTGACCAGGTTCATCGGCGCCTGCATCGACCCGCCCAACGTCTGCATCGTGACGGAGTACTGCCCGCGGGGCAGCCTGCAGGTGAGGGGGCTGGGCATGCCGCCAGCTTGCTTGCTGCTGGGCGGTGACCCCTGGAGAGGCTGCGGCGGCCGACAGAGCCCAGGAAAGGGGCTGGCGGGGTCTGTTACAGAGCACTGGCCCAACAAGAGAGCAAGACAAACTCCTCCTTAGGCACCTCTCTGCAACGTGCAGAAGGAAAATTGCATTGTTGTGGGTGACGTCAGTCGGGAGCTCTCCTGCCGCCCGTGGTACAAGATCAGCAGTTTCTAGACATTACAGATGATGCTTTTCTAAGACGAAAGGTGTTACACCCAGCACAGGTGCAGATGAATTCATCCCTGGTGTGGAGGCTGGTGGTTGCCCAGGGACCAGTGTTTGACATCTGACCACTTTCAGTACGAGCAAGCGGAGGACAGTGAGATCAGTACTTGCTGCTTCAGAAGGGCTTCTCCCAACCCAGAGGAAAATTATGAGTAACATTTATTGGGAAGAAAAATTTAGACAGAAAAATGTGAATGAAAAGTGGGAATTTTGAAAGCAGAGTTTATTGGCTGGCCAAAAATGATCCCACAACTGTGCAAGAGGGAAACTCTGGCGAAGAGCCCGTCAGGGCCGTCCTTACCCATACACAAAGTACGCAGCTGCGTAGGGCACCAGGAGATTTGGGGCACCACATTTCCTGGTGCCCTGT